CTGGGAACCAGCTGGAATTGTAAGAAATTTAATCATGCTCTGTGCACCGTGACTGCTGTATTCTGAGTAAAGGCGGCCGTTCTAACGGGGCTGGCAGCCGCGAGTGGGACCTGTGCTCACCAGGCAACGCAGCCCGCCCTCCCCATCGTGGAAAGGTGAACGTCTTTGCTGCAGAAACCAGAATCGCCCGCCCTTGGGAGACCCCAGCCCTGTCGCACACCTGCAGCCTGCTTCCCCGCCCAGCTGGCTACTCCACCGGGGACCCAATGTAAGCAGCTGGCCTATGGGGGGTGCAGAGCAGGTCTTGGTGGCTGACCTGCTGTGTTCTCCCCATACCCCCGGCAGGACTGGAATACATGCTCATATATGACTCAATCCGTCTCTGCTTAAATGGCTCAAGCAGTGGCAGGCGGCGCGGATCCACGGACCCCCCGGTTACAGATCCCTGGGCTATGCATCTATTTGTTCTTTTTCCGGAGAACCCCAACGCAGACAGCAGCCCTAAGAATGGCAGTGATGGCTGCTCCTACCTCGATGCTGCCAGGAGGTCTAAGTCTTCCCCTTGTCTGCTCGCTCCACCACCGAGTCCCCAACGGGAACTCCATGGCTCCCACCCACCCCAGGCCCTGACCTGGTCACCCCGCCCTGGGTTTCTGTGGTTCAGGCCCCTTCACACCTAAAAAAAAACACCCACCACTCTCATAATTATTTTTGCTCCTTCCATCCAAACCTGTCCTTTCATCCACTTAAAAGAGCTTTGTGTGTGTCATCACGTACCCACGGCGGTCTGTGTCCAACACCCGGCGAACTATTACACCAGGCCTTCCAATGGCCCCCCTTCTCCCCTCCCAGGTCCTTTCGAAAAGCATCATTGACCCGGCGGCGTCCCTTCTCGTGAAGTGCAAGCACCTCGCCGGGCACTAGGGCCTGGTTCCCCACCCCCCGCCGCCGGGGCCCCCAGGAGGCCCTGATGCCTGGGTTTCACTTCTGATTTAATTGGCCTGAGCATTGGGGTTTTTAAAAGCTCCCCAGGTAATTCTAATATGCTGCCAAGGTTGAGAGCCATGATACTAAAATTTGTAAATTGGTTGTTGGTTTAAAATGAAGTAGGAGGAGTTGGTGGGTGGATTCAGGGGAGAGCATGGGCCTGTAGGGTTGTTGGTGGAACAAGGTGCACCGCTCGGCCCGCCTTTCCCTCACGGCAAACAGCCCCGGCTAGGTGAACGCACTCCCTCGGCGACCCTTCCTCACCCTGCTCCACCGCTGGCCCTCACTCCACCCAAGGCCCTCGCTGGCCCCAGCTCCCGCTCACCCGAAACAGGCGGACTACAAGTCCCACAATGCCGCGCGCGCGGGGCCACTTCCTCTTCCAGCCGCGCAGCGCGCCGGCTTCCGCCGACGTGTTTTTCCGGTGGCGGAGTGGCAGGTTAACCAGAGCCCGGCAAAATGGTGAGAAGGGTGAGAGGGGTGATGGGAGTTAGGAACAGGGCTGTGAGGAGCCCTCGGCCCGTCCCGCACCCCTTTCTCTCGCGGAGGCCTCGGAGGCCCGGGATCCAGGCTCCCACAGCCTCCCGCTCGGGCCATGGACTCCTTAGGCTGAGGTTTTGATCTCGCCCGTTTTAAGGGGGCGGCGGGAGGCGGGGGGCGTGAGGTGCATTTAAAGAAAAGTCTCTATTGTTGAAAGTATTACATATGTCCCCCCTTTTCCCCATTGACCCCCCGCCCCGAGGTGTGGCCTGGAGGTCAATTTCTCCCAGTGATCCTACAACAATCAAGGCTTAACTACAACAAGACTGTGCACAAAGCCCACAAAGGAGTGCACCAAGAGTGTCCACCTCAGGTAATTGGGGAGGCTGAGCCACTGGGCCCTATAGGACACCTAGCACACAAAGCCACTCTACCAACACAGGGAAGCATAAAAAATGC